CATGTGTGTTACTGTTACATGAGAAACTATCTGTTCTGTAAGCCTTCACCTGAAGTACAATAAAATATTTTTAAAAAAATAAATAAATAAAGAATACTGGGTTTTAGAAGTAAATTCAGTTTAACAAGTTGGTAATATGTTGTAGTTTTGGTCTTCATTTTTTTACTGGCTTTAATGACTTTTTTCAAATTACAACTTATAAAACCCACAAGAACAGAGTAGTCGATTTCAGTTCAACTGAACTGCCTATAATTGCCAAATCTTTTATGACATCATGACATAGCAGTGATTGTTCTATGGCAAACAATAAGCATTCAAATAAAAATGTATTAGCATTTCACATAAACTGAATTTTAAGAATCTATAAATAATAACTTAATGCACTAACCAAAAAAAAAACAAAACAAAACAAAAAACAGATGGCTATCAAGTAAAAGCTGGAATTCTGGTTTCCTTTATCTTTTTGAGTAACTTAACTGTAAAACCTTTCTCCAAGGAAGTAAGAAAGTTGTTTTTTAAGTGTAAAGAAATTTTTCTCCAAAGTCTCTCAAAGTTAAATGCCTGAAAAAAATAACATCCCTCAAAAGATGCCCAATCTTTAAAGAATGACATGAGAAAGTAAAAATGGGTATAGAGTAAGGAGTTAGTGTATACGACTTCCAAAATGGCAGAAGGTTTTAAGAAAAGCCATCACTGAATATCTTGGCTGACTACCCTGAATTCCACTGAGCTATCACTTGTCACTCCTACTACAGGCTTGAAGGGTTCCGAGCCTAAAGAAAACACAGCATTAATGGAAAATAATGAGTTAAAATATACTCCTTCAAACTTTCACCTCAAAAACTTCTATTTTGGGATACATCAAGGTTTCAACAATTCATGTCTTCTCAAGCATTATATCTGGGCTTAACATTCTTTAAAAACAAATAATAAAAAAAAACAAACCTGTTGCAGTCAAGTTGATTCCAACTTAGAGACCCTATAGCAACCCTACAGGACAGAGTATAACTGCCCCACAGGGTTTCCAAGGCTGTGTACATTCTTACTTATATCCAAAAGTTTAATCAAGAAAAAGTTTAATTTTTTTAAAGAATAAAAACAAGTTTCCTTCTTCCTACCCCTCCAAAATTCATTAAAATCATCCATTATCATATAAGACAATGCCCTGATAATAATTTCATCTCAAAATTCTGCAAGTGCTTTCACTCTGTACGAGCTGTTATATTTCAACTCAGGTGTAAAATGGCTCAAAAGAGTGCCTAAAAAAAATGACGGGAGAAGCTGATTGTTACTAAGCAATTTAACATTAAATACACAAGAACCAGTAAAAACTCAGAAAAGTTTTGGAAATAGCATGTATTTTAATACCCAGATGAAGTTCCTATTTTTTATTAGAATAATGTCGTATTGGTTCCTTTTGAACCAAGAGGGGGAGGGATTAGGATATTTAATAAAGAAACCAATTCAAACAGATTATACGAAAATTGTATTTTGGACCAAAAGCCAAAAAACTCTAAAAGGAAGGTTAAATTTTTAAACTACAAATTCTTACATAATTGTTGTCTTAATTGTTACTGTATCTCCGAAGTCATCCTAACAGGTAGCAGAAGCAACCTGCCCGTGAAGATCAGACCCAAACAGACTGACGAAAGAAGCGTTCTTTTTACAAGACAATCCATCCCCTAAAAACACCGCAAGTGTGGCACAAATGTTCACTGACCCCATTCTAAAAAAGTGACCTAGAACACATTCTTGAACTCAGTCACATTCCCTGCTGATGATTTCTACGTCATATTTTTACAACCAGTTATTGTATCTGAGGGTGTTTTAAGAAAATGACGGTTAAGCACTGACCCAAAGACTTGATACTAAATGGATCCAACTGTCTTGAATAGATCAAAAGAACGACCAGGGCACCCAGGGCGATCACACCTAATTATGCTATGCCCATTTAATGCAGTCTTTATTTAAACGTGCATTATTAACAAAACTCACATACTACAGCCATGCCCCAAGGCAGTTTATTTGACACGTCTGAAATCACATTTCAAATAAAATGCTGAGGGCCCCTGTTTATAGAGGTTCCAAATCCCAGAAAGTAACATCCTCCGTTTCCTTCGGGGTGACCGTAGGAGGTGAGGGTGTGTCTCGGTGCTTACCGATGCCCGGAGCCACATAGATGAAGTACAGACAAGACGAGGAGAGGGAGAAGAAGAAGATGAAGGCGAGGAGGGAGCGATTGGACACCCGCATCATCCACCTGAGCACAGACATCTTCCTCTTCCCGGCCAGCAGCTCGGGATGCGTTCTCAGGCCGGACTCGGGGGCACCGTCCAGGCCCTAAACTTCCATGAATGTGTTAAGAACCCCAAGACTGCCACGGGGTCCGCGCAGGGACACTCCGGGGGAGAGGGCCCGAGTGGGAAGGAGGAAAGGGAAGAGAGCAGACGGAACGACTGGGAGGCTGCAGAGTCGGGGGAGGGGAGGCTGGAGAGGACGAAGAGGAAGGGATGGAGGAAGGCGAGAGCCCGCCGGCCGGGGGAGGAGGGGAGCCGGGGACGAAAGGACCAGAGGAGGCCGAGAAAGGGCGCAGACGCGCGTTCTATCTCCAGACAGCGGCGGGAGGAGGGGCTGCAGGTGGGGAGAGGCGCCGGCTGCGCGCCGCGGCGCCCCTGCGGAGAAGGGCCGCAAACTGCAGCACGCTGTGGCT